GGGTAGGCGCGGGCAGGCTCGGGCAGCCGGCGGGCAGGCGCGGGATTCAAATTTTTTTGAATTAAACGGGTTCGCGGGTTGACCCGGCAACCCGCCGGGTCAACCCGAACCCGACCCGTTTTGTCAAACGGGTCGGATCTGTGAACCCGAACCCGACCCGTTTTTCAAACGGGTCGGGTCCAACCCGGATTTTTCGGGTCGGGTCCGGGTCGGGTTTTCGTGTCGTGTCAAAAGTTGACACCCCTAGTTGAGGATATGATTGTTATGTATATAATACGACTATATATAATACTGTTCATATTGATTGTGGCATATTCTTGTAGTTATATGTTTACTATTTCTATTTTGATGCATTGACTTTGGTTATATATATTGGTTACTTGTTGGGCAATATTCTAATTATGTGATTTTTATATATTTTCAAGTAAGGGTACGATGTAGGTGTAGTCAGGTGGATCTAGGCTGTAGGTTTAGATTTTAGTTTTTGTTGTCTCATTTTATAATCAAGATGTATTATTTTTGTGATGGATTATTTTAGTTAATCATCATGATTATTGTATATACTATTTTGATATATGGTGATGATATTTGATGAATAAAAAAATAATTATATTTTTTGTTGTTTATATTTTATTTGGAAAAAATTAGTAAGCTCTCATTGATATTTAGAAAAAAAAAAAAAGAAGGAGATGCATAATTCTTCCAATTTAGGACATAGGGCATTACATTCAACGCCTTAGAAGGTATGTGTTTCTCTTATTCTCTAAAAATCTTAGAAGGTAAAAATCCTCAAAATGTATGAGCTTACTCAATTATTTGTAAACTTTGATTTTTTAAAAGTCTCATATGACATATGTTTCTCCCATTTTCTAGAATCCTAAGAGGTTAAAATTTTCAAAAGCTATAGATTTTTCCAAACCTCTAAAATCCTCAAAATGCTAAAAGCCTCACAAGGTAAATATTTCTTTGATTCTTCAAAAATCATAAAAGGTTAAAAGCCTCCAAAGGTAGAAGTTTCGTTGCTTCTTTAAAAATCTCTGGTTCCTAAAACCCTTAGAAAATGCATATTTTCTAGTTCTTTAAACATCTGATGAGGCTAAATACCTTAGATGGCATGTTTTCATATTCTCCAAAATATCAAAATTCATAAACCTCATGAATATGATGTATATGTTCACTAAAAAAATAAAAAAATCTAAAAAGGTGTAAATCTTAGACGATACATAATTTCTATTCATATCAAGAATATGCACCAACTTTTATTATTGGTTTCTCTACTTACCAAAAATTATAACAGGGCTTAAGCCTTAAAAGATACAAGATTTAATTATCCAAAAAAATTTGGAAGGTAAAAACTTCATAAGATCCTTATTAACAAAAAATCAATGTCATTATATTCCAATTGTGAGGGCCAATATATTATTACTAATTTAAACATTCAATCGTTACATATTGATGCTCTAATAAGACTTAAGGATTTCAAGTTCATATCAAGGATATACAAAGGGTTTAATCTTCTTTAGGATGCAAATTTTCAGAAATCTTATTTACTCTTATATGAAGATGGAAAGTTCATTACTTCCAACAAATTGTCTATGAAAATCAATCAATCTTGTATATTAATACATGAAAAAATGTTCATTTTAAATTTATATATAGAACTACTAGATTCATTTAATGTCAACACACAATCTTCTATAACCTATAAATTTTCAAATATTTGCATAAGTTTCTAATGAGTAGTCCTTACCATCTTGAAGTCTAATGCAAGGATGCAAATTTAATCTCATTTACAATACATCTCAAACGATTCAAATGATCTTAATACCAATTTCAGTGCTTGACATCATCATCAATATTGACACTGAACGTTGATATAAAATTAAAAGTCAAACTTCAGCTTTGCGAGGACATAAACTGAACATGAACATCTATAGTAGATTGGAAGATAAATTACAAGTTATCTTCAAAAAATAAAGAAAATAGTTCTATTTTCAATATCTTTTTGGAGACTATCTTCATTATTATTGGCATTATCATACAAAAATTATATTGTTGCTTCAACTATCATCATTTGCAAGAGGTACTTTAACTTTTTAGAATGATTATTTTCTTATCTGGAAAAAAATTGAAGCTTTGTAATGTGGTGAAAAATTCTTTCATTTTAGATTTCAATCTGTCAAAAGAGAGATCAAAGATCTATAGAAGGGATTGGAAAATATATTGTTTAATTGATAAATTCGTCTGAGTTGGACTATTTCATACTCCTGATAGAGAAAATAATAGAACTTATAAAAGGAGAATACTTTGTCTATATAGGATACCGTTGACCCTAATTTGAAACCAAAACATAAAAAGAGATAAAATATTTTCTATATAGATAGTTTTTTTTTTCTTATATATAGTTCAATACTCTGATAGAGAAAGCATAGGAGCTTATAATGGGAGAATATCTCGCTAATAAATGATTCTATCCAATGTCTTTTAGGAGAAACAATACGGTCTTATAAAGGAGGAAATTGAGTGGAATGAATATTTGTTTATGTTCTAAATTAAATATATATTTTTTTCTTTTAAAAAAAGAAAAATGCACTTATTGGTGCATTCCTTCGCCTGGCTTGCGTAGTATGCGCAAACCCGTCCCACCAATAACGAACTTTTATTTGGTCCGATGAACGGACGTAGAGCTACGTTCGGCCGGCACTGAGATCGCGCCACGTAGTAGGCACAAAACCACATATTTGTCGATTTTGCTCGGCAATAATGAAAAATACCATTATGTGAAGACAAATACCGAGCAATACCGAGTAATACCGAGCAATACAGAGAAATACCGAGTTTTTTCTAGAGAAACTCGGTATTGCTCGGTATTGGTCTTCACAGAACGGTATTTCTCGTTATCGACTCCCCAAAAAACATCGTGCCCAAA